CAGGGTCTATCCCCATTATTATAAATTCATGTTTCTTTTATACTTTTTTTATGAGATGATCCCTTCTTTGGTCCAAAAGTCTCTTGACAATTCTCTGGTTACTGCTCAATCTGGTTGATGCTTATCACCTTCTTTAGCCTTATCAGTTTGAGGCAAACAGCCTTTCAGACAATGTGTCCCTTTCACCTACACTATTTCCACCCACATTCCCATCGATCAGCTGTTTGGTGAATCCTGAATTGAATTGGATTGCACGTAGGGCGTAACACTGACACACTCAGGATTAACGACAAATGCATCAGTATTTCAGAACAGCCAGTAATTAAATAGTAAATGCATGCAAATGAGAAGGATCAGATTTTGTAGGTAACAGAATGCAGTAGCTCTAACAAGAGCAATGTTGGATGATTATGTGTTCCAGACTGTTCTTGACAGAGGCATTGCAGGTCAATCAACTCACCTGTAATGGATGGAAGTACAGGTTCTGTGTGGTGCATCACCTAGCCAACTAATCAGAAGGACCTGTTTGATGAAGCAGAAGTGTTACCACTCAGATCCATAACAGTATCAAGTGAATTTCACTGAAAGCTTGCTCTCTTCCAGTCTTCCCTTTCCATAACAGTTGAGCACAGTGGGGTGTAATATTGGTAAGGAAACTTGTACCACAGTTAGAGGGTGGTTAGGATTTCAGAGTGAGTTAGAATATTAAAAACTCCCTAGACATACATAATTTTCACTCTAGATAGGCAAAAGGCCACCACTGTTTGAGCTCCAGTTTATGTCTTGGTTTGAACATGAAACCCAACTTGTAGAAGCTCTGAAACAAAAAATTCTCCATCCTCCTGCAAAGCACACTATCTGGGGTGAAGGTGGGGTTTACAGTCTTACCTGCTAAAACCATGACACACACAAATAGTGTTAGAAGACTATCTTCTGACATTGGCTATGATAGGTATGATGACATATGATGACTGCTGTAGCCATTTGTATCATAGCGGGAGCTGATATAAACTGATACCAGTAGATAAAGGTACATCTTTTAAATATAGAGCTCCAATGCTCCAGAAACATAAGATGAAGTAAATGTAATTACCATGAAAAAAATACCCTCCAAGTTGCAAACCAAACACAATGGCAACCAAAATGAAAATCAAACAAAATGATGAATGATGCAAAGCAGCAACTTTGCGGTAGATGCTGTGTCTTAACACTAAGCTTCTTTAACTTTCTCAGTGTGAATGTTGTAGCTTTTAAAAGCCACTCGCTTCTGTTGAGAAGTGAGTCAGATCCAATGCCATAAACCCATGTTTATGTGCCATTCCATATTTCTCTTTGGTTTTGCTGAAATCGCTAATGACTAGCATTGAGCCTTTCTCTACTTCCAGATCTGTGAGGTACAAAGCTTTCAGATGCCCCTCAGAATGTGAGAGGGAACCTGAAGCAGATGTGAAGATAATATAAAAATTTTGTGGTGTGTTCAGTCCAGCAACACTGTTTTTAAAAAATGAAAATACAGCTGGGATTTGAAATTTAGTTATAACCTCACTGTTTTTATCAGGGATTAAAGCTCATGTGGAGTATTATGTATAAACTCTTGTACAGTTCACTCGTTACCTTGCTTGGGTTTACTGTGCTGACCACAACTTTGTATTTGCTTGTGTTTCTAAACAATGGACGGGACTGAATACTCTCGTCTTCTGTGTACCAGTTGTGTCATGCTCATCATTTTGCAAAAGCCTATGTTCTGTTTCAGTGTGATGTACCTCTTGGCTCATTAAACTAAGAAACCATTAAATCTGACCTATCAGAATCTTTACCGATAGTTTTCAGTGCCGATTTACGAGTTTAATTTTTCTGACAGAAGTGGCTGTTCATGGCCTCTGTCTGCTTTGTGTATCAACAGAGGTGACAAGGGATGACACTCCTCCCACCACTGATTTCATGAACTATTAGATAATTAGCTGTTGAATGGGCATATCACAAAACCAGTTCTATCTAATTTTGTCATTGCAGCATCTTATTTGCTAGTATATGGTTTGGTCATCTGTGCTATTCTCTTAAATCTCTTCAAATTCATACTTAGAAAATAATGTTTATTTAACTCCATTAAATATTTAAATCCATTACACTATAAATACATTTGAAATAAGTTATTTTTTCACCCCATGCCTCCTATCTTTTGTAGAAAGCAGTGTCAGGTAGGGAAGCATCCTAACAGCAGGATGACAATAGAAATGGTAATTTTCACTGGCATCACACAGCTTTCAGGGAAAATTGATTAATCCAATACAAAACAGCTTAGATTCAGTTTCCTTGGTTTGTATGTAGGAAATCAATCTGGCTAGCATTAGTGACTACCAAATCTTCAAAAAGTATTGCACAGTGAAACAAAACCCCAAATAGCTCTTAAATCTTTGCGTCAGAGTAATATTATAATGAGATGCTATATATCATTATGTATGTAAAGTTTAAATTATAATATTGTTATAATGACAACATCTCTCTAAATATCTTGACAAAATATGGATTCTGTTCTAAGGATGGAAATGTTTGCGTATAAGGTCAATGGGAATTCTGTCACTAACTGCAGTGGGACTAGAACTGTACAAAAGGTGTCATAGTTGTCAGACTCAGGAGATCTTCTACAACTTCTGTTGCTGCTTTTAATGATTTGCGTCTTATAAATGACATGATTAGCAGCACACTATTGTCTTCTTTAACTTTGATTTAGGAGCAGAAATACAAACTTCTCTGACATCTTGTATGGAAAATCTCTAAATGTACTAAATAAATGATTCTCTAAATCATTTGACAAAGCAGTGTGATTCCACCAAAGTGATATAATTTATTGCCAAACTTCTCATTATACTATTAAAACATTTCTATAAAGACACATTAGCAGAACTTGACTTGTTTAAAAATAAATGCAGTAAGTTGACACCTTTTGGAAAGTACACACAAAAAAATCTCCAAACAACAGCACTCCAAAGAGTGACAATTTAAGGCACGTGATTATTTTGCAACCTTTGTTACATAAATCTCCAGCTAGACCATGTATTTGTAAAACATAATTTCATATATTCTAATAACTAGTTTCACAGCTCAGAGAAACAGAATTCATCTGAATGCAGGCAACACTTTTTTAACATTTCTCGGTCATAGTGCAGCATAATAAACATTGGTAAAAAGAACTTTATCCATGGAGCAAAATGTATAGAAGAAACATCAAATATTTCTGCATTTCATCTTTTTACAAGGTAGGTCATAGTTATTTGTTCAATAAATAGTGACTTAGTAATTCCCAACTTGCATTTCTTTCACAGAGCATGTTACAAAAAACTGGCCTCACCAGAGGTGAACTGATTTACTAACTGAATATTCCAATCTAATTCACATGGTAAAAAAGAAGCTGAAACATACAGCCAGATCTTCAGCAGCTCTAAATCTGTGTTGCTGTGATGGAAATTAGTGGTGCTTGACTGATTAAAGTGTGCTGTAGAAGCAACCAAACACTTGCACCCACATGACATATACTGAAATGTGAAAGTACATAATAAGAGTATGGAGGGGGAAAAAAAAGTGAGACAGATGATGAATTCTCATAACCTGCTTTTTGTATATACCCTGGTAGACGTAGGGAGCATAGACATAGCCTTGGAAAAACAGGGAATTATAATCTGCTATATTCAAACAAAGAGTATGTTCTCAATATAGAAACTGGGGACAGGAAGACTTTTTTTTTTCATCATATTTCAAACTGATAAATTATGCCAAACAAAACCTTGCTGTAGAGGCAATTACACTAGAAAACATCTTCCAGAGGCATAACAGCTTCAGAAATTATGGCAGCTATTCCAGGGAAAGGTCTCTTTGCTATCAGAATTGTCAATTTTATCCTTCATCTGTTCGACTATGGTGACACAACATACAGACAGTGCCTAAGGGCTTTGAAAGTAAATGGTGTTAAGCCTTTTGTATATAGTGCCTTTCCATTTCTTCTGTTGTTAAAAATGGCATAATGTTCCAATCTGTTTTGCAAAAACTCCTACAGTCCCAACCCTCTCAAAAGCATATAGGATCCTGCTGACTTTTCAGAGAGACTGCTGTATTTGTAAACACTGTGGTGTCTATTGATCCTCTCTCGTTTAACATAAAAGCGTACAAGAACATTAAAATCTTACATCCTGTGATTTTCAAAATTGCATACTCTTGTGGGTGCACAACTTATGCAGTAAAACTCCCATCTGCTGATGACGACTTACAAACATTTTCCTGAGGTAGCCTCTACACAAATAGATTAGGAATGCTCTAACAAGCATGCAGAAAACACATCCACAGTGTGGTTGTTCTTCACACAGAAACGCCGCAATGACCTCTGTACAACAGCAATAAGAATGAAAGTTATTTCAAAGCCAACACCTGACAAGCATCTTGTCATCTTTGGTGTTGGTACTTCAGCATTATGCTATGAGACTGGAGGTTAGATTTTGGCACATTGCACTTTACCTCTATGCCTATGACTAAAATACTTGTTCCAATTATGATATCTGGAACAGCATTAATATGCTCTACTTCACCAAAATAGTATGTCCGTATGTACTCAGTTCACAAAAAAATGTATTTTCATTATTGAATTATAAAATTAACATCCCTACTGGTGACAGCCTTATGTCTCATGACCCTCATTAACAAGACTAGCTCTGGGTGATGAAGCTTTCCAATTAGGGACACCGATTTGAATCAGTGCCCAAGATGACTGCAAACAGGCAGCTGCGTGTAGGTTGATAACAAAAGAACCAGTACTCTGAATCTAGTGTCTAAAGGCATCTGTTATGTATCTATCTACATTTGTATATGTCATTTGCCATCACATCTCTGCAGTTTGCACTAGCCTAACAGGCAGTTTTAGCAAAGACAACAAAGATAGGGAAAAGACGTGGGCATGAATTTTCACACTGCTCCACTCTTTTTGGGTATCTGGGAAAATTTCAAATTTGACATCTGACACAGATCACCTGGAACCCATTCAAAATCAGGGTAGGTAGAGTGAAACAAACACTAATTCCTATATATAAAGTAAAATTTATCAAATAAAGCTTCTGTTGGAGCCCGTCTTTAGCAATTCAGATACCTCCTTGAAGGTGACTTAGCACATTTACAAATGGTTTACGCTTGATATCAAATAGAAATAAGGTACACATTAGGATCACAGAAGTGGCTAAGGACTCATCTTCTACTGATGTCACAGAACCTTTTCAACTTATACCACTGAAAATTTCAAGCCAAAATTTCAGGACTGGAATCATCCAAGACAAAATACAGATAGGCCAGAGGACTATACACTGGCATGTAGCATTATACATCCATGAGAGGTCTCAGAGTTTTCACTTTATTAGTTTTCATCTGAGTTGGCTTTCACTGATGTTTCCAGCTGTCTTCAAGGTGACGTAGATCAGATTAATATGCAGTAAGTGTCTAGTGCAATCTTAACTACTATCATTTAACAAAAAACTGGGGACAAAAGAATAAAGGAAGTTCCTAACACAGACAGGTATATACGTACGCAGTAGCCAAACTAACTGTACAATACTTTGAACCATCAACATCCTGAGTCATTGTGGCACTTAAACCATGTGGCAAAACACAGGATAGCCTCTGAGAGACCATTATCCTGATCAACTGTTGAAAGTGATACATAAATTAACAAAATAATCTAACAGAGAATTTGGAAGGTGTCTTCCAAAGCAGCAGTCAAAATTACGAATATTTACATTTCTATCTGAGTGAGGCTATTTAAAATAGAGCAGCTTAATTAGAAATATGAAATGAGTTGCTTGTGACCACACAAAGTAAAGTTCTGAGCTAATTCTGGATGTTCTTTCATTCCAGTGCTACTCAGTAGAAGAAATGAAGGTGAAGGAAGGAAATGGCCTTCCTGGAGTCCTTAATTAATTTTCAAGATGCCAAGACTTTCCTCTCCCCGGAAAGTGTCAATATCCTACAGTTACTCAGTGACACAAATATTCAAGAGGAGAAAAATATTTTTCTTTAGTTTGCACTTATAAAAGGCACTGATCCATTTCAATCAGAGTAGACTTAGCTTAGCAAGTTAGCAAGAGGCTAACCATTGGCTCCTCCTACATTAATTTCATACATCATAAATACTGAATTCCATTACCAAAACAGAAAATGCAGCCTATTTCTTTAGATGTATTTATGGCATAATGGCATAATAAACCATTTCCATGTAAAAAACCAAGGATTTACCATGTGAAAGATTCTTGGTTTAGCCCTCCAAAAATAATATTGATTTTTTGTAACAGTCTACATGAAAAAATAACAAGGCATATTTCCCCTTCACAATGCACCCTTTCATTATGAATGAGAACTTAAAAATGTAAGTGCAGCAGAAAAGCTCCATTGTTTCTGATACGATGGGACTCCACTCCCTTGCCATCTGAAAACATTCTAGAGCAGAACCCTTGAACCAATAGGTTGCTCTCTATTTTTACAGAAGCCCTTTGTCCAAGTTATTCTGTCTTATCTTCTCCTTTCAAGCAAGTCCTGGCTCACAACTGTGTTTCCTCTTGTTCCAGAGAATGTGGAGGGACATGGCAAGATGCTGGAAGCGATGCTAGCTTCTGAAGCTTAGGATGTTGCAGAGGTTTTGGCCTGTGAAAAGAACGTCGGCTTTGTACACGTCTGGCTGCAGCAGATCTGTAATTTCCTTGTACATCAAGCAACATTTTCTTCTCTTGGGGCTCCTTCATGTAAGAGTCTTCCAGTCCTTCAAACATAAGTAGAGAATTCTCTTCTTGTGAATTCTCTGACTTGTAGCTAACTTCAGAACCATAACCTGAGTTGACTGTCTCTTTGTTATTCATGTCAGTACCTGCTTCCCAGAAGAAATCAGGTACATTTGGGTCACAAGAAGCTATGTACTCAGAGACAGTAGAAAGAGATATATTCCCTCTGTTTTCCAATGAAGAATGGTTTTGTGTCCAAGGCATTTGAAGACATGATGGGAAGAAGTGGAGGGGAGTCACTGAAACACTTTGGTTTTGGTTGAGTTGGTCATCTGAAGAGGAATATTCTGTCATTTCAACATCATGGTCCATATCACCTAGAGAGCACAATTAAATAGAGACATCTATAATACACACTTTTGATTCTAGTATGCTAGCTATTGGGCTTTGCTTTTGGCTATTTCTATGGAAGTCTTATGAAAGTGAGTGGTTTAAGATGGCTTTTTTTCTGAGGAACTGTACCCTGACCCAGTTTCTATCTTGGACAACCTAAAGTGAGTTTATTAAACTTCTTTCCCTTCGTGAGTATCAGGCAAAACTTAGTTCAGTGTTTGTGATGAACAACTGTCTGTTTCAGATATTTGGGAGATAGAGCCATCATCTGGTTACTAAGGTGTATCTATATCTTGAAATATTTAGTTCTGATTCTTAGCAAGGAAATCTTTCAGAAACTTTTGAAAGAAATAGTGCTCTTTCAATCAAGTAGCATAGGATATTACCAGAGAGTCAATTTCTTATTGACCATAGCCTATGATCAGTTTTCTGTATACTTTAGACTATGTAGGGAAACTTCACATTTCCACCCTTGGCTTCCAGTTTACATTATTTTATAAAACTTTTTCATTGAAATTTCAGTATCATTCTCCTACTATGAGAACTGAGTTAAGGAGATAATTCAGAAGACTGTTTCAGAGTGTAATCAAGGTCTAAGCTTATTAGCTTGGGAAATCTAACTTCCCAAAATACTTAAGAAACACAGAGGTCAAAACGCAGTGATTTTGATATATCAATGATAGCTGCACAAGATCTTATACATACCAGTTCCTAATAATAAAATAAATTATAAAGAGCCAATAGAATGGAGGAAAAGAACAAGAAAATGTTCAGCAAGTCATATGCCAATATTTTATGACAATATTCTCATAGGGAAAAAGAAGTGAAGAGAATTTTAATGTGGTTAAGTGTCAAGAAGTTTTCCATTTGGAATGCTGCTCATCGTTCAAGTTTTTAAACAGGATATTGGAATTTAATTCACAGTTCTTTAATTAATCCAGTGTTCATCTTAAAACATAATTTAAAAAATAAAAATGCATTAATAAGGAACTGAGTACTAGAACCAACCACAGACCTACAGGCCACTCCAGTAAAGAAAGTGGTGTGCTTCCTATAATAACACCTGAACTAGCACATCTTCTGCAGGGACAGAAGCCAGAATAGAAGAAAAATGGAGCTTCCTTTTCTATTTCTTTTCAAAAGGTTATAAAGTACTTAAATCAAAACTACCAGCATTCACTCTTATCCTCAGATCTTTGTCTGAACAAAATTTCATCAACTAACTACAAAAGTACTTTCAACTTATCACATTCCTTTATTTGTTGATGCACAGAGGTCACTAGATCATACATTTGTGATCATGGATTCCACAAAAGTGAATTCATGATGAAACAGACTATTGCATTTCATTGCATAATCCCTGCAGTGCCCTATGTTCTACTCAATTATGATGTCTGAACTGTGACCTGACCCACCTAATTTACAGCACTGACTGTGTTGATTATAGAAGTGAAGGCTGCTTTTTATGGGGTGGATAATTTCCACAAAGCAAGAATTAAAGGGCAACTAGGATATTCACTTAAACCCAAAGTCAATTTACTTAGAAGCAACAAGTTATTTACTGCATTAGAAATCTAAGCATTTTTCTGGTTTCAAAATAAGGTATGGATTAAGGTAAACTCACAGTTTAAGGATAAAGCTCTAACCAAAACTGGAATTCTGCTTTCCCACAGTCTGACTATTGTGTAATTATCTCTACCTGTGCAAGGGAACTCTGATCCATTCTAGTAAACATGCTTCATTTTTAAACTCTTTCTTATGTAATTTAATGATTACATGAGCAGTGTCATTGAGTACTTTTATTGTAGCAGTGGAACCATTCTCCCTTACTGGGCACTGGATAAATAACCCAGAACTGACTCAAGACTTCTTAGCAATAGAGTCAAAAATCATATTCTAATCATCTTAAGAATGAGCGACTTAGCCCAGTTTATTGCTGGTCTAGCCCTGCTGCTCCTATTGTACATCCAACTGCAATAGAGTCCAATGGGTTAAATAACTCATCTGACCCCTATGGGAAAACTGTATCCTTTGGCATCAACAATTGGATTGTCTTTCTGGGGCTTTAGACTACTGTGCTTACATCTGCAGATAGTAGCGACAATGTTACTCAAAAAGACCAATCACTGTTTAAGGGGGTGAATCAGAATTATCTGATACCTGTTAGGGAATTCAGGTACAAATTTTATCATCTAGAACTGACTAACCAAGAAACCTGGAGCCTCTTGAAAATGCATACACAATTTTCTGGTATTTGGAATACTGTTTTCTTGCCATTTAAAGTATTCAAACCAAAACAAAGAGCAGGACCCTTATCTGCTATAAAAATAGCAAGGCATCAGACCTCAAGTAGTTGGACAGCTCTTCTGTGGAAGGAAAGTAGAAAGATACTTTGTTATTCAAGCTGGAGAAAAACAGAATATGTTTAGTTATAGAAAGAAATCAGGAAAGAGGTGCTCTGGGAGAAGAAAAATCAGAAAAGTAAGTTTACTTGTCAGTAGTCGGGGTTGATAGGAAGGCTGATTAAAAATAAAGGTGATAATATATTTTAAAATATTACATATGTGTTGATTCTGGGAGAAAAGATCTGGGTCGGTCCTCTGGGCCATCTGCTAACAGGAAGGAATCTATTGATTTATTGCTGAGCCGGAATGGAGTGAGCCGTCTGAAGTTGGTTGGAGAATATGGGATCTGCACTCGGGCCCTTTGTGATGGTACCACAGTATCTTCACTAGATAACCATGGTGAGAACTTCATGTAGATGCTCTGATCATCATCAGCCGAAAATACTGGGTTATCAATTCCTAAAAAAAGTTCATGAGTGACAAATACAATTAGTCAAAATAATTTCTTGGTAATACAGCAAGATGCTTTGTAAAAGGAGAATGTCTATAGTAGGAAAAAAAATAGGCTAATACATGTCGGTATAGGTGTGCCTAAGCCAATACACAGACCATTACACACACATAGGTTGCTCTTTCTACCTTGGTTATTGCTAGTCATTTTTGATTTCTATTAAAGAGAAAAATTGTATATTATATCCAATATGCAGTAATATTTAGGATTGCTGGAGACAAAAAATAAGATCAAAAAAGAAGACATCAGTTGGCAAATTTTAAGCAAAATAAAACACAATATAAAATAACTGCAGAAAATTCAAATCAAATCCCTAAAAAGCAACAAAACATAGAAAAAAATACAAAAGCATAAACTACACAACTCTGTAAAGGAATTAGATGTGTGTAAGGGAGCTAAAGCAGGCCATAGAACAGTCAAAAGTAAGTTATAGGAGCCTTTCAATATTGGTATCAATTTTGTAGTGTTTCAACAGAAAAATAAATTTTTTAAATTAGTCTAGTTCTGCATCTTGCCACCCTCTTATTTCTGGATAGGTATCTGGATGTCTATACATTTTCAAACATAGAATTTGTCCTGGAACAGTGAAAAGGCTGTATCAGCACATCTGCCAAAAGAGTACAGAGACAAGTATTTTTCTTCACTGTATGCACCATGTTACATATGAAGTATACAGTGGCATGCTGAAAATTCAAATACAAGAGTGCTGAAGAAAAATACTAAATTTTAAAACTTTATAAATCAAATCTTATAATTTCTGTTATATATAGTGATACACTTTCAATCTGATATTTTAGAGCCTTTCAGGGCTGGAAATCAAGTCCAATTAATGTTTGAGGAATGCTGCAGATCTGCTCTTTTCAGTGACTTCTATTGGCCTGTAAGGATGTGGAGGAGTTGTGAATTTAAGAGGAGAAATCCTGCCTGAAAGAAGAAGCATGAAAGTTATCACAACAAAGTGTTTCAAATCAAAGTAGAAAACAGTTCCAAAGAATCAGTATTGACTGGTCTGTGAGGTAGGACAACTCTAAAATAACTTTTTCTGTTGCTAGAAATAATTAGTGGATTTTTGTCTGGTTTAGGCAGTCATGTCCACAACTTCTATCAGGAGCAAATCTGAAGCTCTCTATGCCTCCAGATATCCAAAACTTGTTATCTGTTAATGTTATAATAACCAAACATATTTTCTAATAAAATACATCAAAACAAAACAAAAAAACACAAGCTAGTTTTTTTTCTTTTTAACATTTGAAAAAAACCACAATCTCTGTAGGTAATTAATATTTTTACCAGTAGGAGTATCTGTGAAATTTTGCTTCGTCACGTTAGCAAGGAAGTCAACTCCTTTGCCTAGATGCAAAGTTTCATAATCATTATTTTCTTCTGATTCAGAAAACTCCAAATCTGGAAAAAAAAAAAAAAAGTCCAATTTGATTAGAGATTTGTATCAGTTCTGATAGAAAGTGCTATTGTAAGTTGTTTTGATGCTAACATAGTTATCAAAGATGCATCTTTAACGGGATCTAGATAAGGGCATAATTTAATCATCAGTTGTAGCACTGAAATTTGAATGTGAATGCATGTAGAGATTGCAGCTTAGCTAACAATTACATCAAGAAACTCAACAGATTTCCAGCTTGCATTATTATCTGGTGCTATGATAGTGAGAGATTTCACAGTCTGGCTAAGCTTTTGGCTAACAGAATTGTCTGCTTTCCTGGGACTGAATCAAACCAACCCATGACATGGCACCAGCTGCTGCTGTGGTTTGTGTCTTAAATGCTCATGTGTTGAGTTGACAAATGTCGTCCCATTACAATGTCCATTCACTGCATTTTCATAATTTGAAAGAGGTCAGCATTAGTATCCTGGCTGATTTCAAAGCTTGTGAGATCATTGCTACTTCTATTGCAGTAGAATCAATTTTTCAACAGCTGCTAAACCTCTTACTGTCTTCCAATGAGGCACTTTTTTTAAAAATAAGTAGAGGATGACATTTATACATAGTGTTCTTTAATAAGACAGCATTGAGTAACCCACTTAAAAGTATTCAGAAAGCTGTTCCCATGCAGAAAGGTTCTAGAATATACTTATTCAGCCAGCCTTTATTGCCCCTGTCAGTCAAAGTAAAACAATGCACAGGAAATGATTCAAAGAACATACATTAAAAAAAAATATTTTTGCTTGGAGCTACTGAGAAAAGATTAATTCCTCTCTACTTCAATTCTCATAAATACACATAGTATTTTATAATTACATAACAGAAGTATTAGCATCCATCACATCTTGCTATGACTGACATCAATGCCAAAAGATGGCTAAAACATGAGATGAAAGAATTTGGGTCTTTACATGCAAAATCCACTTTTGCTAGGGATGCTCCCCCTAGGCCAGTCAGCTTTAGATTACACTTTCAAGGCTGACCTGTGTTCATGAAGGGTGAGTCAGTGCTGAAACTGGCCTCTGACTATGTCTTCCTTTCAAAGCTACACTCTCCTTGAGTTCTAACATGCTTGCTTAATGTCAACGCTGATTCAAACCTTTCTAAACAAATGGACCTTAACTCAGATCAGAATGTCATCTCAACTACTGAATTTTATATGGCATGGTGTTGTGGGCAGACATATCCTGCTGTGATGAAAGAGAAAAAAGTTAGTAAAAGGTGCTCTATGCAGCTTATCCAAAAGGAAGCTGAAAGTTCATCTACATTGTAGGCACCGCATTGTTTTGTTTTCAAAATTGAAATGTGCTGATTCTAAAATGCGAGTAAAGGCGAATTAAAATTTGGTTTGTCATCCAGCTGCCTAGAAAAACAACTTCTAAATCACTGAGACACTGCATTTAAGCATGGAGTAGATCCCCACTCCGAGTTCTGAATTATGACTAGAAGTCCCTTTTTAATAACAGCTTCATTGTTGCATATCATTAAATTTTTCAGTGATGCTTTACTGACAATATAGCTGGTAAAATGCAATTAATGAAACCAGTCTAAGAGTCTTTTTTACCTTTTTCCTTCAAAGTAAAATCTTGTACTGGATTTTCTGAAGGTATTTTTCCATTTGGTATGACGCTGCTGTTTCGCTGAAAAAAAACCCAAACAAGGTTACCAAAAACGCTACCATCATCAGCTAGCAACGTCAGTATCATCCTTTGCAATCACAAGTTCAGCAGCCTAACCCTAAAATCTCTTGTAATCTTTGCTTGAGACTCAATATTGATGTCATTATTTTCCTCCCTACACTCATACTCACTACAGGAAAATAAGACAACTTTGGCTTTGTATGTTATACAACCCCTCTTAGTTTCATGCAAATTTTGTGGAATGCTCTATGCTGTCCTGCTACCCTGCTATATCTACCCTGCAAAATCTTCCCACAGTGTGGTAGCTTGGCTCAAGGTCTGTTGTTTTTCAAGTGATCAAAAATCTCTCACCCAGAAGTAAGGTCCCAAAGCATAGAGAAAAGCAGCATGTGAGAAGATGCCCCTTGAGTTATCTCATGGTTTAAGCTCTTCTTGCTTAGGCCCTTTAAGTTCATGAAGTTCTATAGGGCAGATATAAATGCAAGACATAGAACCTTTCAGAGTTCTCCCTGCCCTCCCCACCTCTTTAGTTTGTATAATAGGTGGCTACATCTGGGCCCTTTGAAAGCATTTTACCCTTTTTTGGCCCCGGTCCCGCTTGTGGATTTTATTGAGCTTCTTGGAATGGTTTATTCCTAGTTTGGTACTCTTGAAAGATTCTAAGCGCTTCCTCATTGTCCTATGGAAGATCTCCTTGTCTTGTTTCTCATCTTCATTGTGCATGATCTCATGTCGACTGTACAGGTGTTTGTGCTGTGGCCAGGAAGGGAAGACAATATTAATTTATTTAGAAATATACAGCTGGAAGCACTGAATCAATCCATTCAATCACTGTCATGCAATGTAGACAACTCCACAAAAAAGAATTAATCAAAGACTAATCTGAAGATATTAATGAAACTCCTATTTTTCTTTCTCTTTCTTCACCATGAAACAGGTGTTTGTCCAGGAATTTTAAGAACATAAGAGCGACTGTCATTCAAAGTAAGCCTCTCGCTGTAAGTGTCTAAATCACTTCAGCTGATACACTCCATTTAATCCTGCTTCAGAACCTGTATTAGACCCAGTTCTGCATTCCACTGGCCTTACTAAAATCAAAGGCACTACTTCTGTTAAAGAGGTATATTCATAAATGAGAAAGAATGTAGAAAGAGCCTATCTTCCTCAAGGGTGTAGTTTTTGCAGATGGGTTCTTTCCTTTTGAGTTTCACTCTCAAGGTTTGGTCCCTAATATCTCCTAGTTTTAGATTAGAAAACAGTCCAATGCTAGCCTTATGTTCTCACCTCCTGCCTGGGTTTATACAGGTACTGTTGTAGGGTATGATGAGCGACTGTGTCTTCTGTGTCCCGGATACTTTTCCTCCTCTGCTCTAAAGCTTGCATGTCAAGGCAAACTGGTCCAGCTTTTTCTCTTCTGAAGAATAAAATATACAAACATCAGTTTTAAAAAGCAGTCATTGCTGAAGAGGATGAAAAAACAGGAAAATGGGGAACAAGATGAAGAAATGAAGTTTAAAAAAAAAAAAAAAAAGGTCAAAATCGGCTAAATGAAAATGAGTGATTAAATACCTATCGGGAAATGTGAAAACATTATTGGTTTTTGTCTTTCAGGTGGGTGTAGCATTAATTTCTCTGTTTACATGACACAGAGTCTGTTCAGTGAAAGAGTTAAGGAAGGAGCAATATTTTCCTTTACTTTTTCTGGAGCAGACACAGAAATGGCATTTAGCCCTGTCTACAACAGTTGGTGAACAAAAGGCACATGAGTTGTTTCATGTGTATGTCTCTTTCATCTTACCAGCCTTTACTGCAAAAATTTGTGTGTAAAATGCAACAATATAACTGTATGTATACCCATTTTATGTAGGAGAAAAGATTGGCTGAAGTTCAAAAAAGTAGTGAATGAAGTCCCTGTAACTTGCATTTTTCAAAATTTGTGACACTGTTTCCATTTCTCCACATATAACATTAAAAACCCCACAAAACTGCACCCCCCTATCAGTCCACATTACTTACAGTAAATAAGAGACAGAGCTTTCCACAGTACTCGGACGTGGTGTGCTGAAATCCACATTTACCATGTTGTCTGTACTTGGAGAACGTATAAATGCCAAGGAACCTCTACGTTCTCCCTGGCCAGAAGGAAACAAGACACATTACAGCTGTAAACACCTAGGGCAAAATGTGTTTCAGAAAAGGCAGATCATTTGTGAGGCTGCTGTATGCAAATGGCACAAGAAGCAGGGTCGAAGTTGTATTTAGGTAACTAATACAAACAATTTTTGGGTTTTTTTATGGTTTCTTTACATTGAGTGATGTTATCCCAATGAACAAAGCTAGGAGAAAAACTATCCCATTCTTGTAAATTGATTTTAAGGAGGTGAGTGATTCCTTAGGCCTCAATCTATTTGCAAATTATACTTTTGCACTTTTGCAGTCTAACTCTTTTCTCTTCACAGACCCTTTCAGGAATGGACTTTTTACTTTGTACCACACTGTAAATCAAGTACATAGGGATATCTATGCAGATTTTTATGACTCAACACATTACTGCCTTAACAGTAGTGACTGGAAGACAGTCTACAGACTGCAGACAGACTGGAAGCATCAAATGTTAAGTGGTGGTAGAAGTCTGCAAGACTATTTGAAAGAGGTTACAGCATTAAGAGATGAGATACCGAAGAGATGAGATTTGCCTTCAGTTCTAAAACTAGTGAAACAGAAGTGAATTGCTGGAAAAACTCAGATTTATGTCTTCACAGTTTCCCCCACTGCTTGCATAATCTCTCGTTTAGGTGAAAGGTAGCTGTTGAGCGACATCGTGGTTACATAGGCTGAACCCATCAGTGGGTTTGAATTACAACAGAGAGAAATCACATACCAGGTCTCTACACTTTAAACTGTAATAAAGAATATACCAAGAAAAAACATCTCCCTTGAGGAATATTGAAAGAGAGTTTATCTACATATCTCCAACTTTAACTGTATTTTGTCCCCTTTACATTTTTATATTCATAGAGCAAATCAAATGTTTCCTTTTACTGTGGTAGCCCACATACATGTTACAGCAGTATGTGTTGCAACGATCAGGTCTGTTGCATTAAGAAGTACACTCTGGCCTCTTCAGGTAGAAAACTTAAGAGAAAAAAAGTAAATTTGGGGCCAGCATCATCCTATCCATTTTCTTAAGTGCCTCTCATTTTCTTTTCAAATCCAGTTCAATACATACATCATACCATATCAGTGGAGGAATTTTAGACAGGAGAAGTTCCAAACTGTATTTTAAATCGCTTCTGTTCCCTTGCTCTGGATTATTTTAATTTTGCCTGGCTTACACTCTCCCCTCTCAACTGTAAGGAATTTATTTAGGTTTAGACTGAACTCTCTCAAGCTCTTGTTTATTGTACAGATGCAGCATAACAGCAGAGCTTGAAAAAGAAAGAAGTATAAAATAGTTTTTAAATGCCTCAGTTTCTTGCAGGTGAGAAGAGAGTGAGTAGCTGGGGAAGGCAGATCTTTACTCCTTCTGGAAGAAATGGCTTCAATTTCAATGTCAGCTTGTAATTCACAGATATTTGGCTCAAAGACATATTTCAGAAGTGAAGGAAAAGTTGTTAAAGCAGTGTATCACTGAAGCAAATGTTAACGTGAGAAAGGCAGAATGACTTTAGTATTTACAACTCATGACTAATCAGGCATATTAATATAACTAATTTCCACTGGAAGAAACCATGTTGCCAATCTTTTGTAGAAATTGGAGAGTTTTTAATTTATTACTATCAGCTAATAGAAATTTGCCAATAGACTTTGCAAGACACAATATACACAAATAGTATTTGGAATAGGGTAGCAAAAGTCAGTTTCATTGTGTTATAAACTACACTAAGGTATAATGAAAAAGCTAACCCAAAAAATTAGTATTCTAACTTAATCTGATGCTACTATATGGGATTCAAGACATTATTGGGTAAAGATTCTGGGGCTAAAACTTCACAGCTTAGTGATCTGCACAGCCCTTTGCATCTGTTAAAGAGAAAACATACTGTAACAAATCTACTGAACAGATTCAACAGTGAATCTGAACATGAATCTCATGCTCATCAACATCAAAGTTATTATCAAACTTTCTTCCTCTGAGGTGTGACCCAGAAAGTACCACAAGAAGGAAAATTAGTTCTTGAGCTCAAATGGTCTGAAAACTGAGTGGGTAACTTACAAAATCTCTAAAGGAAGTATTTACTTATCTTGTAAACCACTCCCTATTTTTCACACTAACATAATTTCTGAATTTCATCTTATTTTCTGAATTCAGTCTTTGAAATTCCAATTTCACTGGAAGAAGTCTGTCTGGCTACAGCTCATTTTCAAAAAAAGAAAAGAGATTAGTAGTAGTAGTAGTAGTAGTAGTAGTAGTAGTAGTAGTAGTAGTAGTAGTAGTATCATCAGTTGTAATAATAGTGTTTGTTTTAATTAAATAAATTAACTAGTATGTCACCTAGCTGTGAAAAAGAGTTCACTTGGAGACCACAGGTGTAGATAATCACTTCAAAGATCACTGCTTGAAATATTCCATTTTAAAATATCCTCTACACCGTATGAATACTGCACATTTATGGTGATTTGAACTAAGGTGGCCAGTTTCATACTGAAGAAGATAAGGAATTCTTACACAATCTATTAACATCGCTTCAGTCTGGGAATGGTGCTCCTGCAGAAGACCAGTAACTTCCTTCCATTCTGTAACTTTAAAACTTTCTCTTGTTGCAAGTCTTAAGCTTCTCTAACTTCACAGTTCTGTGATTCTGTAGTATCACTTTAACCCGAATTTTTGACGTGTGGATGTTATGATTCCATTGAATTAAAGTTACCCTTCCCAGTTTTTGTGTATTACTGTGATCTGGCAAAATTAGATTACAGCAGTCCACTACTTTGGTCATATATCCACACCATTTGGAAGTGAGCTCCTTCAAATCAGAGTTATCATCACAGAGAACCACTGTTCTGCAGGAGCCAGACTCTGTTGACACCTTTAGAAAGACAGCAGTTTGCCTGATTCCTTTGAATTACAGTATTTTTTCATGCAATTAATATAGAAACAAAGTTACTCTGTAAAATCCAACACTGACATTAGAACAACATACTCATACTTGGGGATCAGGAATAATACCAGGAACTACAGCCAATCAAACAGGTGATATTGAGATTCAAAACACATTTAGGAAAAAAAAAAAAAAAAGAAAACAGAGTAGAAATTTAAATAGTTTTCTTTTAGACATCTCCTGCAATATATCAAGTTTCATATAAATTAAAAACAAAAAACAAAACCAAAACTCAAATGATGCTACAATATGTCAACAAGTGTTCATAAGTACCTCAGCCACATAGCTAATTGCATCCTTCAAGTTGAGTTCATGGAAAACATTAAGGATCTGGTCTCTTGATTTTTGAGCAGACCTTCTCATCAGTACTTTACTGAGGAATTTCCTATCAAAATTGGACCACCTGATAATTTAAACAAACTGTGTTAATGGCAACAAGCAATTTTAGTTTCACAGCATTTTTAGTTTGGCATATAGGATATTTTTGTAAGCTAAGCACTTTTAAAAAAATGGTGAACATAGCAATGTGAGGGATTTGCTTTCTGCAGCTTTTCAAATTAGCATTTAAAGAAAGTTAAGGAAAAGCCTGCTACAGAGTTATGCAGCTGTCACAGAGCATTAATAGGTTCACTTACCAAACACTGCTACAACAGAAAGAGTGCTGTTATTACAGTATCCCATTTCAGAGTTACTAGGACATTTTATACTTGGGGAGATCATGCTATCTTATTTTTCCACTTCTGATTACGCAGTTATATTTAATAGCTTCATTCTAAAAGTTTAATTTGCTTTCCTCCTTTGGAAGGGAATCTGCTTTTCCCCAGCTGTACTGGAGGACAGCCAACCTAGAAAATCAGTTCACAACAGTGCCCTTCCAAAAACACTTACAGAGGGCCTTGTTTATGCCACTTATGTACTCTAGGGGATAGAATTTATGTGTATCTTCTGTAATTCATGCTTCCTAGCTTGTCTGATAGTAGGATACCTTCCATTTCATATTTGCTCCAGAAGATAAAGGCTGCTTTACTTTCATCTATCTTCCTCAAGATTTTCTCTAAAGCTCATGAAGCAACTCTGGAGACTACTATTCAAAGTGATTCTACCCATCTTGCCCAATGGCTATTTTGAGTTTACAACTTTTTATTCAGACAGCTGAAACCTTTTTGTTGTTAAACATTATTCATAGAATTGGTAACTATGCCTCTTCTCTAGCCAGAACATCTGACAAGCAGTCTCTAATTCAGGCTGCCACACCTGAGCACATCGCTGACAATACCAGGGGCTGACACATCTTTGAGGAAGCAGCACTTTCATTCACATATATATAGTCCAAAAGAAGCACACTTAAGGTAGTCTTGTTCAAAATCCATTAGTCATCAAGCCACACACCTGTGAATCTACACTAAGCTACTCCTTCTCTTGTTACTCAGGGAGATTACTTTCTGACATCTAGGAAGTCAAACTCTACTCTGCCACTTTAAAAATATTTAGCTTCATCTTCAAGACAGTATTTCAGAACTGGGGATGCATTCCCCTGCATTATAGCCTACTGAAATTCATTCCCAAAAACTAGACTAAAAATTTAGACCAAAAGAAGGAGGATGTTCTTTTTGGGATGCCACAGGAAAATTCTCCACTGCATAAATGAACAAAGAGCAAAAGGAAAGGAATGACTGTCCCTATACCTGTGTACAGACAGGTGAGCAATTCTGCTTGAGCTCAAATATAATCTAGCTCCAGCCGAGGAGCTGTATAGTTATATGAGCATAATACTAAACCTCAGCTAATGTACTCAGCTTCTTAGCAAGGGGTAGGGGAGTGCTCTGCAGAAAGTTAACACAACCACACTGGACTGGAATTTGGATTGGAATTGACACGTTGCGTTAGCAAGACATTAGCAGGTCAGAAGCATGCCTTTCTGAACCTGTGAAATGACCTAACTCCAGGGAGAGAACTGCCTGACCTTAAATAACATTGTTAAAGATGTTCACATTTAATGTCTTTTTTTCCCATTCATTCATCTAGATTATGGAGGTCTGACCATCACAATAGTAAATCTTCATGTGTAACTTTAAAGAAAATGGTGTCTATATCTTTCAGCTGAGTAATTTTTGCTTCTCTCAAGATTACCGCTGAAAATAACCTTTGTATAAATAGGATAAGCAACTAGCACAGTCATGGATGAGTTTTTTTAGTATCTCCACACACAAATAATGTTCATGAAATGGAGTATTACATTAACATTTTAGGTTAATTCTTGAGCAAATGGCCAGTTCTCAAACCTCAAGAGAAGCTGGTCCCTGGATATGAACTAAGGCATTTGCAAAGGCCTAATCTGAGCTATGGAAGAAAAAGAAGATTCAAGTTGTAGGGGAGAAAAATAAACTATTTTTACATTTGCTATATTTCCAGTACTTTCAGTATATAGGCTTTTAAACTACATTTGGCATCCTTGTTGTCCCTAAATTCACAGGCTTAAAAAGTCGTAATTCACATATAAGATATCCTAGCAGTATTTCAACATTCCAAGTTAGTTACTACTTACTTGTCTCTCAGATAATTATGTCCTATTTGTCCAGAAATATCTTCTATAGCAGAAAGAATGTGATCAAAGGCCTAGGAAAGTGGAAGTGGAATTAATATCTTTATAGAAATGAAAGGTATCATTAGAAAATAGCTCAACTTATGTCAGGTGACTATGCAGAAAAATGTTATTGCTGCTAAGCAGAATTTTTTCCCGTTTACAGAAATATTACCCACTATATGCTTTTCTTCAAAGGTCCTGAGCTCTCTAACCAGTTCTCTACAAATTCACTAACTGTTCTTGAATTACAAGGGTCTCAGCAATAAGGTACTTAAGACCCCTTTTTAACATTCAGTTTTAAGACTGTCTTTATCGACTCGTTTTACCATCTCCATTTCGTACCTATGAAGTACATCAGCCACTATTAGTATCGGTGATTAAATCAGTTGAAAAATTTCTCTAGTGTTTCTTTAGACATGTCAGGAATCCATACTTCCCTCACAATAGAAGTAGGCACCATTCTTTTGATATCTAGGGCAAAATCCTATGCTGGGTATATTAGACAGCTGATAGAAATTCTGAGGTTTATAACTCTTGATGCAAACCAAGGCAGCTGCAGGTGGAATTTGTTCTTTTTCTGTATATGGTTGTTGACATTTCACTCTGTAACATTGGAGTGATTACTGCAGAATATACAGTATGCTGCATTTAGAACAACATGGGTGATACAGATTATTCCTGAATATAATATTAATTATTGCCTCAGAAGATATCTGACATGGAGGTGGAGAAAATGATATCATAAGTTGCCTCCCTCCTTCTCCCTAAGAACAGAGAGTGCTCCCTCTCTCTGAAGTCTGCAATTTATACCGTTCTAGGAGCACTGTGCCTCCTGACACAACATCTGCTAGAATATTCTAGGAAAGAACTCAAGACAAAGACAAATTACAGATAACTTTTGAAATGTTTGAAGGATTTTGCACTTGAAATTTGATTCTCCCCTACCTGCCAAAATGAAATTTTCTCTAATATGTTTTTTTCTTTTCTCTAAAGCACCATAGTTTTGTTTAAAAATATCTTACTCTGCCATGTAGTTTCTCATTCAGTTTTGGCTCTCTGTGTTCAGTTTTCTTCACTTTCAGCCATTGTACCAAAGGCTTGATAGTCAGCCCCTAAAGATTGAAACATTATAATAAATACATAGGAATTATCTATGACTATCCTCCAGCTGGACATTGTTAAAGAGAAATAGAGCACTTTTGTGTGCTATATGGTGATTCTTATACTTCCTCTGTCCCCTATAGAAGATAAAATAGTGTAGTACCCTCAGCTCCTGAGGGCTGAGAGCTTTGAAAAGACACCAACTACTGGGAAAATATATCTTCTATAAGAAAAATATGGTAGTGTTTCCTGTACCATTGAATGTGGTATTTTCTGCACATATCAGGACTTTGTTATCACAATTAAACTTTCTATAATAAATTATTCACTGACATATCTCCATTTAAATTAATGTGGGGTTTTTTCACTCAGAAAGTACTGTTTTGTTTGTATGATAAATTCTTTCTTGTCCCACTGCTTACTGTTATATTTTAAAACAAAGACTTGGGCTCAGGTAGATCAACTTAATGACTGTATTTGCCCATATAAAGGACTGTTCCCTATAGTTATTCACATGAGGTGAAGGATGTTTAATCAGATATTAACTTGAGCACTATTAATACCAAGCAGCTAAGACTGAACATTTTTTAGCACACAGGAAATTGTGTTTTGTCCCTTGTGGTGTCATATGAAAACATAAAATAGGATCTTTGTTACTAAAATTACAAATTCAATTATGCTTTCAGTTCAGTGAAACAATATGCAACCTTCAGCTGAGAACTGCTTTAAGCATTTGGTACTTTTGGGGGACTCCTTCTCCTTGCGAGAAGCATGCTTAGGAAGTTGAATTACCTGGAAAATAACAGTAAAAAATACAACAATGATAGTTGTGCTGACAAACAGGTTTTTCTCATGCACTTTGTCCTTATCCAGAAGTGCAACCAGAGCAAAAGCAACTGCTCCACGTAGTCCACCATATGACATCACCACCTGGTCTATTATCTCCAGCTGGACCATTCTGTAGTGGTTAAGAATCCATGTCTGTAAAACTACACCTATAAAAAACAAATGCCAACATGTCTAGAAACATCCTCATGAAACATCAATATCCCAACCATGTGTAAAAGAAACGGTACCACCAGTCTGCTTTCGTAACAAATTCTCCACACCATCTACTTTTCCCTCTGTATTGCTATGCTGCCAAGGAGGGCAGGTCTACTTGGTACCTTTTCCTTTACATTTAGCCAAAGGAATCCTATGAAGCTTCTTCTGTGAGACAGCAGCTCTGCTGAGAGTGCTGCCCTCTGGCATAAGCAGTACAGGTGAAATTCTGCTGTGTGCTGACCTTTGAAATTTGCAGTTGAGAAAGAGCAGAATTTCTAGCACCATAGCCAGTGATATGCACAGGTTCTTTCAACAGAAGGAGAAAATGGTTGAAACAGTGTTGTCTTAGGGAATACATGTGGTACTCTTTACAAGTCACTAAAAATTATATTTATGTCATTGTCTTATGGAGGGTTGTGCAGTTATGCTAACACTGTCTTCAGGCCACCAGTTTAGATGATGCCTACTGTAGAACTAAAGCTCTAGAAATCACGACATCTTCCAGAGCTCCCACCATGCATAAGGAAAACAGCTTCATCGCTCCTGAGAGTGGCACAACATGTGTGTCCCACTGCACCAAGCCAGGACTATTAGCCAGTGCAAAAGAATTCTTTTTAGAGAACTTTGAACTTGTGCTAAGGGAAGTGTCTTGTGTATATCACTGTAAGCAAGGACTCTGGTGGAGGGGACCTTGAAATCTAATTCATGCCACCAACCTGACTCCTCCAAGGGTATAAGAGCTGCAATTACATAAGGCCCAATATTATCAGGTCTCTAGTAATTTATCAGTGTCTAAGCTCAATTATACTTTAATGGATGCATATTGTTATTGCTGAATATCTACTATTTATTGATCAAACTTATTACAGGATTATTAACCACTCATTCCAGGAATAAAAGTGACAACTGAAAACTTGTTTAAACACTGCATGCACCTCAGCGATTACTAAGAGGTGGCTAAATGAACAATGGCTGCAGACTGTTTAGAAAGGAGGACATGGAGCTAGGCCCTTCATTCAACCCAGGAATCTCTAGACCAGAATAATACAGTGTCTAGGAAAACTGCCAGCCAGATAGATGCCTTACCTTTTACTTGAATTTAATCCAAGACAAACAGGTAAATAAACATATTTAATTTATTCTCAGATGTAAGTACATACACCAAATCACTCTAGAAGTATTTAATTCTATGCCTTTTTTTCAATTTTAGCCTCTTTGCTATTTCACAAAACAGTTAAATAGTAGAACTACATAGTTGGGCAAATTGTCATTGGTATTTTGAAATGTTTGCAGACATTTAAGCCCAGTAAATTGACAGTAGGTAATCCCTACTTGCCACAATCTTATTTACTCAGTTTTTCACCAGTCCCTGAGAATTATTTCTTAAGCCAATGAACCTGCAGTGTAATTATGTACGGTCTTACATCACTGTGTGTCTCAAACCTGAAGTCAACCATAAAATTAGCTTAAGACAATCTCTTTATTACCAAATTGAAAGAGCTGAAGGAAAGAGATGGCTGACAGGACTCACATCTTTTGTTAGGATAAAAGCTAAAGAACAAAGTCCTTTTCTCTGGGAGATTTTGCCAATACCATGTGCTGGGTCTACAAAGGTTAGCCACTGGGTGATTCATGTTAACTGCTGGCCTAGTCATATCCTCACATGTCATCAAAAGGGAAATCCTACGATATTTTCAGCATATGATAAAGCTTACTGTAGAGACTCTACCCTCCTACCGCAAAACCAACCATAAATTCAACCATAAACCATAAATTGAATATTTTAAAAGGAACAAGTCTAAAACTCCAAATTCTGTTTTGGTTTTTTTTAGAAGAATATGTGATTGCATTAACAATACAGTGAAAGGACAGGAAGAAGATCATTCCCTTACCAATTACTCTATATACCGAGATGAAGACCAGAGTCAACAGAATAAAAGCTGTATTCCAAGTCCAGATGTCTGGATTTACAGCTGAAATTCCCAGGAACATGAAGATAATAGTTTCTGCTCCACTGGCCATCATTTTCATGGTATATCTGACAGTTGTAGAAGATTGTTCAGATATGTTAGCCTTGACGTATTTCTGACAGCAGATGCCACAGAAAGTTATCCTAGGGGGAAAAAAAAAAAAAACAAAACAAAAAAAAAAAACAGCAATTGTTCAGAAAATATTTGTTGTAACATTTAATATTATTTCCATCTGTCTGTCACATAGTGATAAAAACCCACCATTAATTCCTAAGAAAAAAATACACTCAGGAGCCATTGTGGAGTCTAATCAAGGTAAAAAGCATATCTCAAACATTCATCCTGAGGTGACCCCAAGATGTCTGAAGACAGCATTTCATTAGATAGTAACGGACCTTAATTGTCATCAGGTTACCATACAGCTTTACATGCAAAATTTTAAATCAAGTTTACATTAGCCATAAACTAATGATTTTCTGTCAGTAAGATTTTCAGATCTGGGATATACTCACTGTAGCATCTACAAACATAACAAGTAAAACTGAGGAGAAAGATATGCCAAGGATCAATGGATACTAAAAGACAGACAACAGAGCTATTCAAAACCAAAACAGGCAAGATTTAAGCAAACCTTAACAAGCCAGTCAAGACAGTGAGAGCAGCAAATAATAGATATACACATCATGCCTTAGAAAAATACTGGTTTAATTACAAATAATAAGGAAAGATGTCAATACAAATGGACAACTGTTAGTTATTGAATATTATTAATCACAAAGAGGAAAGAATCAAGTCTGTATTTTGCAAAGGAAGTTCTCGTGTTGCACAGCAGATACTGGGAAACTTGCAGTCCTTTTCAAGGCTGAATGACAGTGTTTGCAAACTATAATCTACTGCAGTGTGAAGATATTAATATTCAGCATAAGCTTCATGAGTGCCATATTCTATATTTGTCCTATATAATTTAGGTCTTTCTTTTCAATGTTTTTAAAAACCATAATCCCTTCTCAGTCCCTTCACAGGCAATAATAAAAAGAGACTTACGCAAGGATAGCAGAAAGAGAAAGCATCTCTGCTGTGAGGTAGGACAGGTAGGATATGATGAACACAAATCCAGGTTCAATGATTCTCACATGTTTGGTGAAACGACTGACCAATGAGAGCAGAAATGCAAAGAAAATGCCAACCAGTGTCCCACCTAGGCTTACCACAAAGAATGACACTGAAAAACAAAACCAAACACAGTTTACACAGTAGAAATATAACAGTTTGAACTAGTTCTCTTCTACTGTATGGCCAGCAAATCAGAGACAATTTTGGAGGACACATCGAAAACTATTACTAACATGCAACAACATGAATTGCTTTTGAGCACTTCATATATGAATGAAGCATTCTGTAGAAAAAACAAGGTTACTTTCTGTTAAGCATGACAATTTTAGTCTTATTCAAAACCCACTACATTTCTTTCCCATGTTCTGTAAACAAATGCATTCTCAAAACCAAATTATAGAATATACAAAAGTCACTGTTAAAATATTGATTTGTAAGATAATGTAGTATCATGTCATGCCTGGAATGGGAAATAATAACTGAATTTTTAGTTAAATAACATTTCTTGATAGTCACTGGCAAACATTACTTGATGGCAATCAGTGATAAGGAGTGAGAATGCCTACCTCAACTTTCCTGGAATGGAGGGAGAGCATAGGCTGAAATTAAGGACATGTTATAAAATAGAAAGAAAACATGTATAGCTGTCAAGTTTGGTGGTTTCAACAGCTGAACTCCACATCTGTTAAGCCTCTTCAGAAGAAAACAGATCTGATTTTCACAAATATTCACTTATTTATTTTCTTAAGATATTTTTCTATGCCACAGGAGTGTGGGAATATGAGTGACAAGGGAAAGGGCTGAAAATTAACAGTTACTGATAGCATAATAATAATATTTTGTTTAAAAGTCTGCATATGTACATCAGTGATGTGATATGGAATTCAATTCTACGTACCTATGCCTTTGGCACATTCAGTCCCCGTCACACTGTCTTGACCTATTGTAACAAAAGATTCAAACACATTGTACAGCACCTGAAAAGAAAAGTAGAGTAACTTCATATTTGTTCCTGAATTAAGCCTATTAAAGTAATCTCATTATGGGCCCCAACTTTATGATTTCTGAAATTATGTATGACTGAGGGAAATTCTGTGTGGAGGGAGATTTTGCAGATTTTTTAATTTTTCAGAATGGAAAGAGTGCAGTAGAAAAAGAAGAAACAAAAAGTTTTAAAAGAACAACTTTCCATTTCTCATTTCAATATGATTCCTATCTATAAGAAGCACTATTACATCTAGATGTGTTTTCTAAAGAACTTCTCCCTCTAAAACCCATGTATTTAGCAGATTTATTTAATCACCTGTATAAAATAAATAAGAAAATAAGATAATTATAAGAATGCTAATATTAAGATACTGGATTGAAATAGGTTGAATATACATAAAATAAATTGAACATAAAAGAGAATAAACTATAATAATTGTACTAAAGCTTTTAAAATAATTGACTAACAGTGAAAGTGCTGAAAGTGAAGAATTCATCTTATCCATATCCCTGTGTAAGGAGGTTTGTGTGAGCATCATTCTTGACACATGCCCATCTGATCTATTCTTAATTTCTCCAGCGATGGAGGAGAAATTTACAATGGCTTTCTCAGCTTTTCTTGTTGCAGCTAAGCTTCTTAGTTCTTATATTTACCTCAGTCATGGCATACAGGTTACTTTGTTCTGTAACAGTAGTCTTTCACATATTTACATTTAAAGAATGCTACATCATCCACTTTCTTCTGTCCTCCAGTCTTTAATTTTTCCAGGTAAGAATTCCAATCATTTCAAATTTTCTCATAGGCTATGCTTTCTGACTCTTGATCATGATTAATCTTCTCTTCTGGATTTTCTTCAACAATCAAACTTTCTTTTATGTGTAGAGTGAGTGTTTGAATTCATTTCACAGTAACACTCTTTTCCTTCCAAAAGCCAGTGATGCTGATACTAAAATAAACCCTTGATGAACTCAAGTATTTGTTTCTGGTAATACCCCCAAAATACTAATGAGACTGATATCTAAAGGCAATTAGGTTTCTCTGGGGACCCTAAATGGCATTTTCAAACTCATGTGAACAGTTAGGCTGCTGTCAGTGACCTTACAGTACCTTGCTGCCTTGGTTGCAAAAAAAAAGTCACTAATAGACCCTCCTTCAGAGTTATGCAATAGCAGAAATAGGAGATGATCCAAGAAGCACAGTGAAGCTCTATAAACCATTTTCATAGCATCTGTCTGCCATAGGACTTCCTGGTCCCTGCCCACTAGCACTGTACTACAAAACTACAGTATTTTCTTATGTATTTTAGTCTGAGAAAAATGTTGTGTGAAAAGTGTTTCAATCAAAATAAAAACATCAGTAGAAATCTGGGATTAAGTCTATTAAAGTCTATTAAGTTTTTATTTTCTTTCTAAATGAAAAACCCAGAAATTAACATGTTACAAAAAAAACCCAAACCAGACCAGAAACTTTCTAAAATGTCACACATTTTTTCCCAAATGGCGTCTTTGTTGTATATTTGTTTGATAAACATCTGATTGAAGTAAAAGAGAGGGAACAAGCACTTAAACACTCTCACTCTCAGTCTATATATCCGAAATGTGCGTATAACTAATAATGGAACTAATTTCAGTAAGTGATGAAAGCCTTACCTGAACAGCAAAGGCAAACAAAACATACATGCCTGAAACTTCATTTTAAATGTTGGTATGCTCATCCAACCCAGAACTGTATATTTTTATGTGACTTACAGGCTCCAAATAGCTTTCAAGCTCAAATCTTAGCAATAGTGTTTGTAAGCAAGACAGAGAACACCATAAGCTACACTACACTAGCCCGTGAGTAGATACACACAGATGATACAGTATTTCATTTAAGGCAAAACACACTTCAGAAGAAATGCTCTAGAGTTTGAGTGACTGAGACATCTAATTTACTTACCACAGTTACAGCATCATTCAGAAGTGATTCTCCAAAAACAATGATGAATAGAACTTCGTTGACATGAACTTCTTCAAACACTGCTAGAACAGCTACAGGATCCACAGCAGCAATTAAGCTTCCAAAAAGAAGGAAGTCCAGCAGTCCAGTATTCAGCTGGCCTTCAAAAACAGAGCAAAGTATAAGCAGAGACAGCTCTGTATTATCTATAGTAATGACAGACTGTGATATTGCATATAATGCATAACCCTTGAAAATAGGGATCCTAAGGTATCAGCTGGAAGGTATGATACAGAAACACAGAATGGTTTGGGTTGGAAGGGACCTTAAAGATTACCTAGTTCCACTTCCCCTGCCATGGGCAGGAACACCTTCCACTAGACCAGGTTGCTCCAAGCCCCGTCCAACCTGGCCTTGAACACTGCCAGGGAGTGGGCAGCCACAGCTTCTCTGGGCAACCTGTGCCAGTGTCTCATCACCCTCACAGAAAAGAATTTCTTCCTTATAGCTAATCTAAATCTGCCTTCCTTCAGTTTAAAACCATTACCTCTTGTCCTATCATTACACTCCTCTGATAGCGTGCGTCCCCATCTTTCCTGTCTGCCCCCTTTAAGAAGCCTTCTCTTTTCCACGCTGAACAACCCCAACTCTCTCAGCCTGTCCTCACAGGGGAGGTGCTCCAGCCCCCTGATCATCTTCATGGCCTCCTCTGGACCCACTCGAGCAGGTCCATGTCCTTCTTACAACAGGGGCCCCAGAGCTAAACACAGTACTCCAGGTGGGGTCTCATGAGTAAAGGGGGACAGTCATCTCTCTCTACCTGCTGGCCACACTCCTCTTGATGCAGCCCAGAATGCAATTGGCTTTCTGGGTTGTGAGTGCACATTGCTAGGTCACAGTCAGTTTTCCATGCACTAATAACCCCAAGTCCTTCTCTGTAGGGCTGCTCTCAATTCATTCACCCCCCATCCTGTATTTGTGTTTGAGATTGCCCTGGCCCATGTGCAGGGCCTTGCACTTGGCCTTGTTGAAGTTCGTGAGGTTGACACGGGCCCATCTCTCAAGCCCATCCAGGTCCCTCTGGATGGCACATCCCTTCCCTCCAGCAGTTGACTGCACCACACAGCTTGGCATCATCATCAAACCTGCTGAGGGTGCACTCAATCCCACTGTCCATGTCACCAACAAAGATGTTAAACAGCGCCAGACCCAATACAGACACCTACCACTCGTCACTGCTCTCCACTTGGTCACCGAGCCATTGACCACAACTATTTGAGTGTGACCATCCAGACAATTCCTTATCCACCAAGTGGTCTATCTGTCAAATCCAGGTCTCTCCAATTTGGAGACCAGAATGTCATGCAGGACAGTGTCAAATGCTTTTCAGAAGTCCGGGTAGATGATATCAGGTGTTCTTCCCTTATCCACGAACTCTGTAGCCACGTTGTAGAAGTCCCCCAAATCTGTCAGGTACGATTTGCCCTTAGTGAAGCCATGTTGGCTGTCACCAACCACGTCCTTATTTTCCATGTGCCTTAGCATAGTTTCCAGGAGTATCCACTCCATGATCTTGCTGAGCACAAAAGTGAGACTGACTGGCCTGTAGTTCCCTGGGTCTCCCTTTCTTCTCTTTTTAAAAATGGGGGTTATGTTTCTCCTTTCTAGTCATCAGGAACTTCATGGACTGCTACAACTTCTCAGATATAATGAATAGTGCTTAGACATTTCATCCACTAGTTCCCTCAGGACCTGCGGATACATCTCATCAAGTCCAATGGACTTGTGCACCTTCAGGTTCCTTAGATGGTCTCTAACCTGATCTTCTCCTACAGCAGGTGGTTCTTCATTCTCCCAGTTCCCACCTTTGTCTTCTGCATCTTGGGCAGTGTGCCTGGAGCACTTGCTGGTCAAGACTGAGGCAACAAAGTCACTGAGTACCTCAGCCTTCTCCGTATCTTGGGTAATCAGGCCTCCTGTTTCCTTCCGCAGAGGGCCCACATTTTCCCTAGTCTTTCTTTTATCAACCTACTTTTATAACCTATTGTTTAGAAACTAGTTAACAAGTTCTGCATTGTGTCACCTTGTATCCTACAAGGTTTGTTGGATCCAGCATTGGCCCATATGGATCAAAGTTGATTCTGAGAGCAGTATAGTCCTGTTCTTGTGGTAAGGCACTTGAGATAACTATTTCCAGATCTAAAACGGCTTTGTATTTGTGTGTGGTATAGGTTGTCTAACTCGAGTAAATTATCTCAGGGTAACAGAACTGAGAAGATGGTAAAAAGAATACACCAGCACTCCTGAAGTAAATATTCCAAAATACTTCATGCCACAGGCCAAATCTGACTCTTGGTCACTAAGAATTGCTACAGTGGGGCTTAATTGCATTCGGTACAGTTAAACAACACTTGTGACCTCCTTATTCAAGTAGACATTCATTGATAGATGCAGTTAATCCACTTGTTCGCAAATTATTATTCATGATGCCAATGCTAAATTGTCCTCAACTGGACCATAAAAATAGGTGAAGGACTAAAATGTACCTCAACATGTTTGTGTTGTAGCCCCTTAGAAATTTTGGCAATGATTTTAAAGGTTTTGGAACTACAAAAATTTGGTTACAAAGCAACCTTTTTTTTTTTTTAATCTTCTTTCAGTTATTAAGATTATTTTGTTCAGTTATGCAAACAGACTGAGACAAGCATCAGTATCATTTTTAAAATAACAGAAAAGGAGGAGCCACAAACATCCCTTTGCTCAGCTTCCCAAATATCTTTGAAAATTTACCCTCTTTCTGCAATCTAAAGTGGTATCCCAGTCATTTTTTTCTGGGCAACAGATTTCTGAAAGTGTAGAGAACAGGAAAATTCCCTTTGTATTCATTAATGGATGGGGGAGGAAGCAAGGTTCATTAAGAGGTGGTGAAGCCCAAAATTATGAGGAAGAGCAAAGGAATATATTGGGAGTTCATTCATTAGAACACAGTGCAGAGGCCCAAGCCCCAAATTAATAGAAAGTTCTATCAGGCATGATTTCTACAGGTGAGGGAGAAATCCATCTGATTAAATTATTTGGAAGCATGAGTCAGACAATAGCAGTCAGTAGCCTTAGCCTGTAGATCAATATTGCCTGTAAGGTACTTCCAGAACAACATCGCAACACCTCTACAAGAACTCTTATGAGATAATTTTTCAAATCCAGAATGTTTAGTGCTTGGAAGGTAATTGAAACTGAAACTAGATTCCAAATATTTTTGATACAAAATAGCATGGACATTTTTACTCAAGAGAAGGATTACATGGGCAGCCAGAGACAGGAGTAGACAACACCCTTTTGTACACAGTGGCCAGTAATCTGGGGGAGCTGCAGAAGTACATATTCTCTTAACTGCTCTCTGACATTCAGTGCATCTACAATGTTTTCCATACAGTTTATAAGGGCCTTGGTAAGGCCCTGAAAACAGAAATTTATAATTTGCACAGACCTATAAGTACTTTATATTTAAAAAAAAACAAATAGTCTTGTTCACTCTTGGACATATCAGGCTGCGAATGAGGACTAAATCTATCTATTTTAGTGTGAGAGAAGGGTTGAAGCAGTGAGCTGAAGTCTGTGCCAAAAATTCTGAGAACAGCCTTGAACCTGAATCTAAGTAATGTTTCCATCAAATGTTGTCCTTCTCTGCCATGCTTAAGGAAGGAACAAGCCCAATGACAATAACTATCAGATATCAGGGTACAATAGAACGTAAGCTTTTAAAATAAATTGGCTCGCTGAGACTGCTTATCTTTTTTATATGTTACCAATTATAATCATTGGTACATTCCTTGAAGATTTGCAAAGCTGGTGAGCAAATATTTATAGAAAGGTTAGGACACATCTATAATTCCTACAAAGCAGTGTCAAGAGGCAAGGAGTTTCTAAATCAGACTTTTATTTAGACTAGTTATATTTCCAAGTGATACATGACCACTGCTTCCTCCAGCTCACCAGAGTCTGGAATGACTAGCGGCTAGCAGTGACACCTGAGTAAGGTAAATTCGCTGAGCCCAGTCTAGACTTCTACACATACTCAACATATAGTCACTATGACCTAGATTGCACATGAAAAACTTTTCTAAGCATCAGTCACAACCACAACTATTCCACAGAGAAGTTCTGCATGTGTTAGTTCTCCAGCAGATGACGAACTGATGAGCAGTTAGGTGCAGTCAGCCAGGAAGATTTAGGATTAGATATTTCTTCTGATTCTGTGAAAGCACACTGGTGTGGCTGCTGGTTAATGGATGAGGTGCTGATCTTTTAATTTCATGTCTAGAGAAGGATTTCTTTCTAATTATAACCTTCTCTTTTTCTACTGCAAATTATAATATCTATAAGGATATTGAATGCAAAGAAAGACATGCTTTTATGTTTATTTATGTAGGAAATCTGTGTAATCCAGTTTGGATTATGCACTCCCATATTGATGGACAGTACTACAGGCTCATTCAGTGTTAAAGTTGGAAGTAATTTGCGTTTAGTTCACCTCAGTCTGTAGTGGATATATATTCCTACATTTTAATACTACTTTTAGCATTATTCACTCAAATTGTAGAAAAAGTGGGTAGAAACTAAAATATGCCATAGAACTTCAACCAGAGGCTGCTATGAACTCTTCTAGAAATTGAGTAACTCACTGTTCTCCTATCCTCAGCAAGTAACAGCAAGGCTTTTCACAAAGCGTGGTGCTCAGCTCCTGCTGACATCTTGGAGGTCAACACGATGTATTCAGTAGATTAGCAAGTATCTGTCATGTAGATATTTTCAAGTCCTACTTAGCTTTGCTGGAGAATGACATAGTTTGAATCAGGGACGGGCTTCTCTGGCCTTTTTCATAGCTGAAATTAGAACTCTAGTAGGTTATTATGTGTCTTGGTAGTAAAGACAGGTCCCCACAGTACAGCACTTAATGCGCATTCTAAACATTTAAATTCACCAGGCATGACAGTTTATTGTCTGCCTTTCTTAACGTCCCTATTTCTAGCTTGTAGAGCTTTAGCTGCGGCCTGTGGTGGGGGCTGATTCTCCTGTTTAAGCTCAAAGTTCTAGTATATACTGTCACCTAAAGTTTTGTGTAATGATGAAGCAGAACATGTAGCTATCAAACCCAGCTTTTACAGTTAGTCAAGAATTGTTTATGGATTTGGAGGAGAGCAAGAGATAAATGGGTTTTTCACTTAAAATAAAATTTTGGGGAAAAAACTTTTCCATTTCACATGTCATAAGGAGGTCATTGCTCTGCCTTTCATAATTTTATCAACATATTCTTCAATGTAATTATCATTCATTATATTTCCCAGAACAGGATGTTAATAAAATATTTTTAGTCATATTTTTTTTAATTGTTCCAAGCAGCTTGGATGTTTAAAGCAACAAATCCTTGTCCAATCTGTTTCAATAGCAATATACCTTTGTCATCTTTTTTTGATCCTGAAAACCTGTATTTAACTATAAATGTGAAATGGTGGATGCAATACATTGTGCTTACAGGCTGAAAGCACATAAAACATCTTACCTACTTATAAAAGTCAATAGTGTCTGCATCTGGGCTATCACCTTTGTATCTTCTAAACAAAAACTGTTACTTATAAAATGTGAATTTAGTAAAGTAAATATCTCAAATGTAAGCTAAATCTTTCATAGATGTATTACAAACTTCTGCAGTTACGTAAAATGAATCTTAAATGAACAAGTCTGTAGTCTAGTTCTTCCAGACTGGGATTTTCCAATAAGGACAACAAAGGTTTCCCTTAAAATGGATGGAACAGATATCCCAATCTTATTCTCAGTTTCAAAGAACCAAGCCCCAAATTCCGCTATTTCCCTGTGCTGGACAATGGGAGCAGTTGTGTTCTCTTCTGTAATAATCAGCTAATAGTTTAATTCTTCATCACAAAAATGGTCTCTGCAATATCTGCAACTTCTGACCATCGAGACATTCATTTTATCTGGACTGAAAAGGAAGTCTGTGGTAAATCTGGTAAATTGCTCTGTGCCGATTTTGCACCAGTGTGTTTAGAGAACAGCCTCATGACTAGCTGTTGAGCCTTTCATACAACACAACATATCCCTCGTGGTCTTGGAGCCGCTCACTCAGTCCATGATCTCGGCATTAGTTTCCAAGAAGAGACTGGCAGAGTGCACAGCCACACCAGCACACTGTATATCTGTACTGCTCTCAGCAGCACTCAGACGTGCCCTGTAAAGACCTTCTAAAACTCACTAACCTAAGAAAATTCTGTCCTAGAAAGGCTCCTGAGCTTCTTCAGTAGAGACACTAAAAAAGCATAGATAGGATGCTTGTTTCAACACACATGCAATCCACATATGATGTATATTATTTTTCTTCAGGAGGCAGTACATAGTTTATGTGCATGCCACACCTGCTGAGGAGGGTAAGAATTGCTGTTTAGTGCCTCTTCTACCAGCCCCATGACCTTACATTGTAGTATAATTAAAACAGAGTTCACCTTACATGTGCTACTTGGCTCTGGAAGTCTTTAGTTACAATTTCCAGCCTCAGAAGACAAAATAGAGGTGTCATGCATACATACCCCTCAGCAACCTTTGCTTACTTAATATTAATGCTGACTGAAGGAACACAGTTCCATTGCACAGTAACTTTGAATGTTTCTATCACAGAAGAAAGAAACAAGCCCTTCAGAGTATATTTTTGTCCAGATGCCCATTAGCAGGACAAATCCTGAGCTTTATCCTGAGAGTGTATGCACACATTTAAAGCAGGGTAATGAGAGACACAGCTTCAAGTCCCTTTCATGCTTGCTTCAGAGAAGATTTCTCAGATCATTCTTAAATTTGATAAAAATACTACAAATTGCTCCCATTAAAATTGGATTTTTGTGCTGAAAAGGGTTGTTAAATTGCAAAGTATCACCCATCTAACAGCTGGCATACAGTAGCGTTCACAGTTGTGCCTCCACAGGTCAAACTTACCCATTATTCCTGTCTGATAGACACCGTACAGAGATAAACCGGTTGTGGCAGCATTCCAGACTGTCCCAATAACAGCATACAAAAGGATGGAACCAAGGTTTCCAAAGAACAATCTATTTGGCATAAAATATCCAGCGTCCAAAACAATGGGGGGCAGCAAATAGAAGAAAAATACAGTTGGTGTAAGGGTGAAGGAGGCAATGTGATCTGCTGCCCATACAATGCCACCGAGGAGGAGACCAAGAACAATCAGCAGAGCACTCTCTGGAACCACCCGAGTGACTTTGTGGGACAAGTGGAAAACTGCAAGGAAAGAGAAAAAGTTTGTCAGAAATGGAATGGAGAAACAATTTGAGCAACAACTGTCATTAGCTTGCAATTTTGACTTCACAGACTTTCTGCTTTCATTGTTATTAAACCCAAAACATACATGGAATGCATGGGATACAGACAATGTCAGAACACAGCCCCTTATAAAATAAAAATACTGATTTTCAGATTTTATCCAGCATATTTCGATTTAAATGAAAATTATTCTATGACATTTATTTCCTTTATTGGGTTATCATCTCCACACAAAATCTGTCTAGGGAAGGGTGGTGTTCTGTGCAAAGCAGTAAATGCAAAACTGAAAAGAAATGGTAGAAGTGCTGGAAACTTATAACTTTATGGTTTATTTCTGTATCTAAAAATACACATCTGACCTCCCAACATTTGTCTTTAAAAATTATCCATTTACTAGCAGGTTTACTGGAGGATGGGAGAAGAATGCTGAAAGAAGAACTAGTTTCAAGACAAGTCTTTTTAAATTTATGAAGAGTATTATATGACAATCTAGCCTGCAGGAGGAGCAGAATGGAGCTAATATTATGGAAGAACCCTTTTGGCCTTTTCCTCAAAACCTCCTCACTAAGGATTTCAGTTAATTCAGAGGCTTTCTGAAGGAATGGGGGCTTTAATGGTGGCTTCTTCATATATAGATATATTTGTGGGAAATGGTTTTGCAACAGGCTACTTTCTTTTATATAAACAGTGTCATAAAATATAGCAGAAAGTCAAATCTATTAATAAAGATGAACAGTATATGGTATCTATTATAGAAAAACATGTAATGGTATGGTGTGGCAAAACTATTAAACTAGCCAATAATTAGAGGGAGAGGGCCATGAATGAATCTGAAGAGACAGAAGGATGGCAAGACCAAAACATCAAAAATAGATTGTTCAAGATGACAGAAACACAAGTAAGACTGCAAATACATGTGGCAACATACATTTATAGTTCACTTGTTAAGTATCAGATAAAAGGAAAAAAAAAAGGCAGAGAGAAGAACAGAGAGAAATCAATTCTACAGAGAAAGATGGAGCATGAAAAAGGAGGAGGTGGCAAAGGTGTTTGATAACAAGGAAGCACAGGTGTGCCAGTTGACTTTCTTGAGATTTCTGTGAGCTTTTCCTTCAGTTTATCTTAAATATTGATGTGTCCTAGATGGTCTGAAACCTGACACTTTGTGATATCAAGCTAATAAATGGGATTTTACTTATATAGCTTTGTGTTGAAAAATGTGATTTTCCTGTTAGGAAGAAAATTCCACTAAAAGTCACCAACTTGCTCCTGGTTTGAGCATCACCCTAGAACTGTGCTGAACCTTTTACAATGCTAATGCAAGTTAGCTCAAAACTAGTTTGGACAAGAAACCATCATTAAGAATTCCAGTCTTTTAAGGTATAGTGGAAGAATCTTTCCCATGACTATGCAGAGATCACAGACCAGGTTACTTTACTGAAAGTCCATTGTTTTTCCTCCCAGCCAAGTATTTGTCCTAGTCAAACATTTACTAGTTACCTTTTAGAGTGTCTTAAGGGCCCCATTCCTGAACTGTCTGTCTTCATCTTGGCTGCATCTATACAATGTTAGAAGCATCATCCATCATTATAGTAGCCCTATAGATGGCTCCTACTAGTTGTATAATCTCCATGGCTTTATCAGAATAGAAAACACGAAAGGAAAAATCACCAGTGCCTGCCTATACCGACAATGAGCATGACTGTAGATGTTGCTGTTTGTAGACAGGGCTTGGAAACTAAGCCATGTCAGAACATAGCTTTGGAGTGGGATTAATCTAGAACAGCAATCACACGTTAAAGCAAACTGCATTCAGTGAAGTTGGCTAAACCATACCAGTTTTCTGTATCATCTTTATTATGTATTCAATAGCTGAATAACACTTCACAGAAACAAACACTGCGGTTTTTCCCAGTTTTCCTCTCTTTATAATAAAATCCCTTGGGTTTGCATTAAAAAGAAGAAGAAATTAAATAAAGAAAAACAAACTAGCTAATATTCTGTGTGTATAAAGTGTAGCATTTAATTTCTCAAAAGTCTTTCCTGCTGGTCATTCTTGATGCCTTGAATTTCCAGTCAGTGAATTATCAACTAATTTATCACCTCAAAGAGTAGGGATTATCTCCTTATCCCTGAAAATGAATGCTGCTGAGCTAGTCTTACTAACCCAAGTCTGTTTTTCCTACTCTTATGTTTGTAGATAAGCCATGACTACAAGAAGTTAAAGTTAAAAATTTAAAATAAACCTGTGAAGACTTTTCAAAACTAGACATTTGGAAAAAAAAAAACTGATGTCCAGCTAAAAATTCATATTCTGTAGAATTCTAACCTTTACAATCAAAACTACTTTCTCCCAGGCACTGCTGGGAAGCCAACCTGATTTTGGTTATAACACTGTCTCCTCCTAGAAGTCGCATGTTCCCAGGGAATCAGCTACATCATATCTGCCTGTCTTCCCTTTAACTCCAGTCAACTGATTATCTGTACTAGATTTTAATACTATAAGCAATAAATTCTTCTACTCTATTAGTTTAGGAATGCAGGTTGTGGACATGAAAGTTATTGCATGAAACAGAGCTCTAGAGAAGTCTCTTCTCTTTTTTTGCACTTGGCCCAAGCAAAACATGAACACTAGACCATATTTTTTTTAAAGTAACTGCCTAGCAAACTCTGCAGGCATATAGTATGCAATATGTCTATAAACACAGAAATATGCAAAAGGAAAATACCACAACTGATGAAATTCAATGAAATAACTTTAGACTAAGATATAATTGAAACTTAGATTGATGTTTGAATTCATATTTGCTCTTAGAATGATTTTTTTTTTTTTCTGGCTCTGTGCATAACGTATATTCAATCAAGATTGTGCATTATGCGTAGGTATTACATTTATAGAAATTGATATAGATTAATTACAAATTCATTCTTTAATGTTTTTTAACAATTCATTATCCTGAAGTTATGCCCCTAATACATCCTGAGTGTGTTACAAACTGTCATAATGATAGTACATTAATTGCATAAAGTTTGCCCTTACTTGCCTAGGAGACATCTAGAAAGTCCTGCAAAATAAATTATGTCCCCACGACAAAGTAGAATTGGAAGCTTTAATTACATCTAGATGACTAGCATGACTAAGTATTTCACCTGACTGAAGAGTAAAATAAAATCAAACAATAATGGACAAGGAGTTTAGTTTGATTACGTTTGAAAGAAATTACAAATATCAGGAAGGATAGCATGCAGTGCTGCTCAAATAAATGACACTGTGGGGGACCCAGAGATGAAATTAATTCTATTTCCACTGCAGTTAATAATGAAAAGGACATTAATATATTTTAATGAGTAGAGGGAAAGAGCAAATAAAGAAAAATTGTAGCCAGTCCATGGCATAAAAGAAATAGCAGTGCACAGGGCAATCTTGTGATCTATAAATTGTAACATTTATCATTTAGAATTCATCTACATGAATCTAGGCACAGTATTAGTGAAAAAGTTATATATGCCTTCCATCCAGAATATGATAAACTTGTCTTGAAACTTGGGTTGGACTGGCTAGTGGGTAAACTGTGTTTAAACTCAAGCTGGGCACTGCTGAATTAGATGCTTTCTACAGAGTTAAGAAACAATTAGATAGTATAAACTTCCTGTGAATTTTTCTTCTGACAATTCTTCTGAGATCCGAGAAAAGGGACTGTGACATTTAACATATCTGACAAAACAAATTAACTACCTACGATTTGATGGCTGGAACCAGTTTCTTTTGGCTCAAAGAAAGAAATATACTTTAAGAAGTGAGGGAGTTTTTATCGCCTTTAAAAATGCAGTAATTTAGATTAAATCTTTCAGTGGAATTGCTTTCTAAGGCCATCTGAGAGTGCTTTTCAAGAAATGATTCAACAGAGTAACTTTTTTCTCATTCACTAAATGAAATGAAGACAGAAAGAACTGGTTAAATAGCAAGAATAATAAATAAAAGAACACTAAAGAAGAGATAATGTAGAATTGATGATCAAGACAATATTTGTAGACATACAAAAAAGTTTTCTCAAGTAAGGTTTCCCACATTTCTTTCCAAACTCTCTAACAGCACCTGCTTTTAATGAATACCAGTTTTTGCTTATCAAGTGAACATTTCAATGACTTAGTTCTAGAATTCTGTGCTTTGTTCCAGCTGAAATGAACAATTCAAAACAGATCTGACAACTTTTGAAAATACAGTGGTGCAAAATTAAAAAACTGAAACTACTTATTTAATATGCTGTTACATTTCAGGATTTATATGGGCATTTCAGCACTATCTCAAGTGACTAATGACATTTCCATTAACTTTGTTAGTGTGAAATCAAGGCCATGAAAACACAGAAACAATTTTTCCAGCTAATATCACTGTCCCAGTCAATCACAAAACCTACTTGCGTGTGCATAGTATGCAACATGTCATCCAGAAAAATCAAGAACTGACATAATAATGCTAGTAATTCTTTGCTAGAGTTTCTTTTCCATGTATCTTTGGATAAAATCCAAGGAATCACAAAATAATTTAGATTATTGAAAGATTTTCAACCTCTTTTTTCAGACTTATCATTTCCATAGTTCCCATGAAAGCCTAGATATGAATTTGCAAACATGACTCTGTTCCCCTTAGCACTGCTAGTGTCCAGGGTGGGGTATACTGTATGCATTTTTGCTAGTGGTTTAAATATGTACTGATAGTATGCTATTAGTCTATTTTTCAGTTTTGACTTTTTATTTTCACTTACAAAGATGAAGTTACCCCATTAAATCATCATGAGTGCTTCTAATTTGAGATCCAAGACTTGATTCTCTGCAATTGCTGAGAACCCTTGCCATTGACCAAAGTGAGAGCAAAATCCTGCAAACTTTTCTTTGTGATTCTTTGCATTTACTTTACAGAGATGCAAATATAGTATCTCCAAGGTGTATATAATCAG